CGACGCTCTTGCTGAGACATCGGCGGCGACCTCCAAATGCTTGGAAATACAGGCCTTTTGTGTCTGGGGAATGGAAGGAGATGGAAGGTTCAAAGGATTCAGGTAGACATGAGGGGAAAGACTCAGGGCCTAGGGCAAGCTAGATTTTTTCAGACACACTAGTGGTTCAGCTTTTTTTTTTTTTTTCTCCCCATCCCCAGGGCTAGGGAGCTGTGGAAAGCTTAGATCTGCCCCCACCTCAGCCCAGGGCCAGCCACAGGTTTCTTAAGAATTTCTTTAGTGCAACCTTGCATCTGAGAGATCAAGGAAATATAAGAATAGAGAGGCAGAAAGAAGAAAGGAATAACCAGGAAAGATCAGGAACTTCCCCTCACCCCCAGCTGTGGCTCTACTTTGTGGATGGATCTTCTCCCCTAATCTCCCTGTTTGTGAAAGAAGTAATGGGGTTGGGGCTGTCTGGAGAAAGGAGGGAGGAGCTTCATTTTTGATTGGTTGTGGGGCTTCAACTCATGGTCTGGGCACTGTCCCGGAGCTTTTTTGCTCGAGGCTAGTGCTCTAGTACTTCGAGCCACAGCACTACTTCTGGTTTTCTAGTGGTTCATAAGAGATAAGAGTCTCAAAGTCTTTCCTGCCCCAGCTGGCTTTGCACCTAGTTCCTCAGATCTCAGCCTGCTGAGTAGCGAGGATGACAGGCCTGAGCCACCAACACCTGGCTGGAAAAGATCTTAAGTAAAGGTCTCAAGCTCTGTTGTCACAACTAGAGGAGGAGCTGTTAGCTGCTGACCATCCACAAGACACAGGACAGTCCTGCAACTGCTCCTTCTTCCTATGTGTCAAAGATGGGAAACTGGTTTCAAGAAGAGAGCACTGGAGGTGTTGGGGAGCAGGGGTGCTTGTGTGTGATATCTGGAGGAGCTGGTGTGTAGAGGGATGACTCGAGGGCTCTGGGTGGCATGTCTATCAGAGGTCTTAGCATTGTGAAAGGATGTTTGAATCTGGGAGGTTGGCAGAGAGAGCAGAGGTAATCCACTAACTATAGAGCAGGAAGTGCCCCCAATAAGGAACGGACAGAGGCAAGGAGAGGAAGAGGTGCTGGGGAAGGTGTACAGTTCAGAATGGCAGCTCTCTTCCAGGGCCGGACCCCAGAACTCTGCTCGCGGAGGCGTGGGCTGAGCCGGCGGCAGATGCGTCTCCACACGCCCTCAGCGTCGCAGACTTCGTGGAAGTAGCGGCATGTCTGGCCCAGGGCGACCACATCTCTGACCGGAAGAAATGAAATGATGTGCTCCACCTGGTAGGAGGGGGCCGGAGGGGGGAAGTGGGAGTCACTGGCAGTCTCTCCAGTTGTCTGCCCTCTGGTTTTTTGTGTTTTTGTTTTTGGTCTTGTGGCTTTCCTAGGTACTGTCCCTGAGCTTGTTTGCTCAATGCTCAATCACTTGAGCCATAGCTCCATTTCTGGCTTGTTTTTGGTGGTTAATTGGATATAAGAGTCTCACGAGCCGGGTGCCGGTGGCTCACACCTGTAATCCTAGCTACTCAGGAGGCTGATCGCGGTTCAAAGCCAGCCCGGGCAGCAAAGTCCGTGAGACTCTTATCTCCAATAAACCACCAGAAAACCGGAAGTGGTGCTGTGGCTCAAGCAGTAGAATGCTGGCCTTGAGCTGAAGAGCGCAAGGACAGCGCCCAAGCCGAGAGATCAAGCCCCACGACAAGAGATCAAGCCCCATGATCAAGGCCCAAAGGGAAAAAAAAAAAAAGGCTCACAGACTTTCTTGCCTGGGCTAGCTTTGAACTGTGATCCTCAGATCTCAGCTTCCTGAGTTGCTTAGCTAAGATCTACAGGTGTGAGCCACTGGCACCCAGCCTGCCCCTTCATTTTTAAGTCCTGGGGCTTGAACTCAAGGCCTGGACGCTGTCCCTGAGCTGCTTTTGCTTAAGGCTAGCACTCTACCACTTGAGCCACAGTGCCACTTCCGGCTTTTTCTGTGTATGTGGGACTGAGGAATCAAACCCAGGACTTTATGCATGCTAGGCAAGCCCAGTACCACTGAGCCACATTCCCACCCTTGCCACCCCATTTTTAATACTTCCCATGAAAGACTCACCAGCTCTGGGGGGAACAACTGAACAGAAATAGGGTTCCCTCTCCCCTTCTTTTCTTCACCCCTAGATTCTGGGCCACAAGAAGGGCAGGTCCGCTTTACCTATGTGAGGAGAATGGAGAGCATGGGGGTTTGGTGCATCAGGCCCCTCCTCAAGCTGTCAGTCTTTCAAGCACTCTTATCTAGCTACTAATCTAACTCCAGCTGTGTGCTGTCCGGGTCCTCCCTTCTTCCAGATCCCAGGGTCCTCCCTCCCTGTCTGCCTGCCTGTCCTCTGGCCCATCCCCAGATTTCTGTCTGAATGCTCTCTGCTTCCTACCCTTCCCTTGCCTGTACACCCCCCTCACCCTGCGCCCCTCCTCCCATGTGCACAGCCCAGTCAATATTTGCGGCTTCTGTCTCCAGTTTCTCCTCACCATCCTGACCAGCCCCTCCCTTCTCCTGCCCTCATCTCTCCGGGACCCTGTCCCCGCTGCTGCCTTTCCCACACCATGTCCCTGCCTGGGCTTGGGGACCTCTGGGGGCCCCTTCTCCCTCCTAAGCCCCTCCCCCATGGAGTCTGGGACAAACAAACCCATCTGTGACCTCACTGTTCAGTTCACTGTGACCTATCTTCCTTAACTTGGCCCAGAAGCTGGATCCTAGATTCTAGCTCAGCTTTTAGTCACTAGATGGCTCATGGGATATGGATATTACTGGAGAAATAAATTGTGAACTACTGATAGATGAGGCCTTGATTTTGAAGAAGTAGGTCTTTCCCACTTGAGGATAGATTTGTAGCTTGAGTATAAACTCAGGGGGGAAAAAAGAAGAAAAAGGTATCCGTTTTGACATGTTGGAGAGAAAAAGGACCCTTGTGCTGCCCTCCTAGCTCACTAAGGTATTTGTCAGATAAAAGCAGAAATAATTTGGTACAATTCTCATGAAGACACACTTGAAAGCATACTGCATTCCTGGGGACCAGCAACATCATTCCATTTACAAGAAACAAGTGGTAAGGTAGAGGAAAGGAACTGATTGGCTCTGAAAACTTAAAAAGAATCATCCTAAGCTAAGAAGCTTACCAGGAAAATTACCAGGACAAAGAGGTAAGGTTGTGTGTGACCAGGTAGGAAGGAACAAATCTATTTGCAGCAATAAATCAAGGAATGGCTTTTCCAGGGACTCAATGGAACCCCCTCCTGTGAGACAACCGATCCATACTGCACAGGATTCATTCATCATTACAGGTCTATTCATTGACTGTTCCAGCTGTCAATGAATAGACTGTCCACTCATCTCTAGCTCCCTTATTTATTGCAACTGTCCAGAAATACCTAAGAAGGATTTTTAATCTTTGTGCGTGTATGTGTGCATACTGGTAGTAAGAGTTTCAACTCAGGGACTGGGTGTTGTCCCTTAACATTTTTGCTCAAGGCTGGCATTCTACTACTTGAGCTACTCTTCTGGCTTTTTGCTAGTTAACTGTAAGTAAGTCTTACAGACTTTTCTGCCCAAGCTGGCTTTGAACTTGAATCCTCAGATCTCACCTCTGGAGTAGCTAGGGCTACAAGTGAGAGCCACTAGTACCTGGCACTGGTAATTCAATATTCAGGCATATGGATATCTCATATGCAATTTAGAAGACAGCAAACTTGTTACAGGTGGCCAGACAACTATCAGCACCGGAAGAGGGTACTACTGGGGTCTTAAGTAATTACATTAGGCTCTCCAAGTGAACAGAAAATATTGTTGTATCTTGCATTATGGGAACTCTTTTCTCCATTTTACCCCCAAAAAAGCAAATAGAGGTTTCAAAGATAAAGCAGGAAAGACTCCTGTGTGGAGGATTAAGATCTGGCTGATGTCAGCTATTAAGATTTTTTGTTGTTGTTGTATGTTCTGTGCAGGTTCTGAGGCTTGAACTCAGGGCTTGAGCACTGTGTTCCTGAGCTTTTTCACTCAAGGCTGGCGCTTTACCACTTGAACTACAGCTTCACTTCCGGCTCTTTTTGCTGGTTAATTGGAGATAAGAGGCTCACGGGCTTTCCTGCCCAGGTTGGCTTCGAACCTGGGTCCTCTGAATAGCTAAGATTTACAGGCCTGAAGCCACTGGCACCTGGTTCTAGATTAGGATCTTGCTGTTTGCCCTTGCTGTGACTCCTCTCTTGTAAAAACGAAGGTCGTGAGGTCCTTTCTAAACTCCTCAGGGGAGGTCACTCCAATCCCTAACCAGGGGGGTCGCGAGACCCACACTTGGCCTTTAATCTCCGCAGCCGGAAATGGCTCCCGTCATCACCACCACCCTGTTTGCACCGGTCCCCTCGGCCTCTCTTACACCCTCGACGCTGTCTAACTTCCCACCAGCTTCCACAAACTACCCCGGTCAGCCCTGCAGAGCACGGGGCCGTGGCGCCCGCTCACTCACTTTACCACCGTCTCAAGTTCTAGCTCACCCGCCTCCTCTTTAGCGAAGGGAACGCCTTCTCGCCCATGCTATTGGTCGGTAGAGCCGTCCCTCAGAGAAGAGGCTGGGAGAGGTTCCCTCCGGAGGTTCTAATTGGCCATCTTGACAAGTCACTCGCCTGTATCTGATTTGCAATTGGTGTTCGCCTCCGCCTCGCGGCCTTGTCACTCTCAAGCTCTGCTAGTTGAGTGCCGGCATCCCCGCCTTCTGCTTGTCCCTGATTGGCTCCATCGCCAGCCCTGGGCATTGTGATTGGATGTAGCTGCGCGGGGCGGGCCGTCCCGCAGCGTCGGCCGTTGGCGAGTGCTCCATTCTTTCCCCCGCCCTTCTCCCGCCGGGCTCCGGCGCCGGAGGCTCCACCCCTCCGCCGGGTTCTGATTAGCCGCTTCCAACGCGTCTCCCGCCTACGATTGGTCCGCTGGGTCCCGGACCCCGTTTCCTCCCACTCGAGGCTACTACGGCGGCTCCCGGGCGGGGGAGGGGAAGGGAGAGACGGCCGGTCCCGTCAGTCAGGCAGCCGGAGCCGCCGGGAGCGGATGGCGGCGGCGGTAGCGGCCCCTCTTGCCGCCGGGGGTGAAGAGGCAGCAGCCACGATCTCCGTACCGGGATCTCCGGGTCTGCCCGGGAGCCGTAGTGCAGAGCGAGCCCTAGAGGAGGCTGTGGCCACCGGGACTCTGAACTTGTCTAACCGACGCTTGAAGCACTTCCCCCGGGGCGCGGCCCGCAGCTATGACCTGTCAGACATCACTCAGGCAGGTGAGTGTGCGCGCGCGCGCGCGGGGGGGACTGGGGTAGGAGGCCGCGACCCTCATTTGCATAGCCACGCCCCCGTCCCGCCCGCGAATGGGGCCCGCCCTTTCACCTAGCCGCCCGGGCGCTCCCTGGCCTTGATTGGCATAAGCCTGCGACCACCCCCTCCCGGTTGTAAGAACCACGGGACAATGAATGGGCGCTCTTGTGGGTTTGCACCGAATGCCCAGTGTGACTGGCCCGGGCGTTGAGAGCCCACTTTATTTGCATAGCGTGCACCTGTACCGTGGTCCCGCCCCTCACCTGGTGGACTCATTTGCATGTTCCCTTCCACCTCGGCTCTGAGATCGTTGCCCTAAAGAAAAACATCCCCCAACAGCTTTTCTAAAACCATTTGTACCTCTCCCTCCTTGTTCGTCTCCAACTTTCTACTCCACTTCCACTACGATCTGAGCAGCCCCCTTCTGTGTATCACCCCTAACAACCGGATGTTTCTGCTGACTTGGCCGTAGCCCCGCCCCCTTAGGTGCCAGGCCCCACTGTTCACTCAGCCAACCCAGAGGAAGGAAGCAAATCTACCTCACTTAACTCTTGTCCCTGAGATTTTCCTCCCGTTATCCTTGACCCCTACAGCTGAGATTCCTCTTCCTTCCTTCATCTGTGAGGTCACTGATGCCTGTGACCTCATAAGAATCCTACAATTTCCATTGCAGTTTCTGCTCTCCCTTTGGAAGGGGGGATGTGGGGGAATTGAGGCAGTTACTGGAAGGAAGGAAATTCCATCTCCTAGCTAGAGGAGTCTCCTCTGGAGACTCTCCTTCTATTCCCTACTAGGTGGCAAGATTCTTCTAATCATGTCCCATCCAGTCTTGTGCCTGTTAATTGAGGGGCGGGGTGGTGGTGCTGGTGGTGGTGCAGGGAACACTGTTATGACAGGTGAGTCAGGCTTCAGCTGCTCGGCCCGCCCTCCGACCTTGGGCTATCAGAAAAGGGGTGGAGCTCAGGAGGTAGGGAACCTCATTCCCTAAGCCCCATCCAAGCCTAGGTTGTTGTATAGTCTATTGCTTCTCACCCAGCTTCGGAATTGGGGTTATGGGGTTGAATGAAAGAGTACATTTCTCCTCCAGTGGGTACATGCTTCTCCCCATTCCCCCATACAACCACTCAGGCTGGACTGGAAAACACTCCCTTTGCGGTTTTGGGAAGAACAGTTTAAAATACTACATTCTCTTGCCCACTACTCAATGAGTGACTTTGGAGAATGGGCAACCCCCTTGAGCCATTTCTAACCCTTCCAGCCTCCCACCCATAAGCTCCAGATTGACCTCAGCAGCTGTGTGACACTGGCCGTCTGTTCCCTTTCCCCTCCCCCTCACTTGTTTTTTTTTTTTTTTTTGACAAAGACCAAATGTTATTCTTTACTTCCTTAGGGCTCTGTCTCAGTGAGTGGACTCTTGGGGAAAACTACCAAGAACTCCCAGCGCCTCCCAGTCCCTGCCCCCACCCAGCCACCTCCCCTAGCATTCCGGCTCAGGGTGCAGCCCCGGTTCCCATGGGTTCACTTGGGTGGCGAAGCAGGGAAAATCCCAGCTTCCTGAGAACCTCTCTCTGCCCTCCCCAATCCTTGCAGGATCCAAGTTCTAGGCCAGGTGGGTTCCATCTGGACAGATCACTCTCCTCTGTGCCTACTCCCCAAGCAGAGTGCTCCTAGTTTAGAGTATAAAGGGGAAGTTGGTAGACAGTCCTTCCTACCCTGTCCTCCACTCTGTCCTTCAACCTAGGTTGAACATTTCAACACTCTGCTTATCCTCTCCTCCTTCCCTCCCTGCTGGTTCTGAGCCTTCCTAGCAAGTTCACTCTGCGCAGGCCCCTGATATTATACCTAGGACTTTGTTCCCTGGCCCCACTTAGTAGGAAGAGTTCTGGGTAGGGGCGGGCCACCATAGCAAAGGAGAAGTGTATTATAGCGCCTTCTCCCACAGCCCACATCCTGTGCCCCTGAGCCCTGCCTCCTCCAGCCTGGGCTCCCTTCCGCTCCGCTCCTCGTGTGTGCCCTGCCACTCTTACCCCATGAGAACTTGCTCTCCACCACTGCATGTACATGGACACATGCAAACACATTTGCAGGCACCGAGGTCGCAGGCAGGTGTTGGATGGGAGGACTCTGGAACTGTCTTTTAGCTATGGCTCAGTGTCTCCTGGGGCAGAGCAGTGGAGCAAACATAAACAGATCCTACCAGCCATGATCTGACGGATTGTTTCTACTTCACTTCCTGTCACAAGATCCATTTCCTTGGGGGATAAGCCCCTGCTTCCCCTCCTAGTAGCTTTTTGCTCCCCCTTCCCTTGGAAGGAGGGCCCTCAAGAAGCTCCCCCAAGTTCTGTTGCCTGGGACTTCCCTTAGCAGGCCTAGGCCCCTCCCAAGTGCAGGCTGAGCTGGGCAAACAGAAACAACAGCTCAGGCTGAGTCTGCAGGCTGAAGAGAACCCCTGGGTCTGGCTGGAGGCTGTTCTGTCCTGAGCCAACATAGTTAGATAAGGAGGGGAAACAGCCTCTTCCCTGTCTCCGTTCCACTCCCTGTCAAATCCAAGATACTTGCAGAGGGACTGAACTCTTGTGGTCTAGGTCAATCTGAGAGGAAATAGAGGAAGGCTGCCCGGGCTGGAGAGAAGGGTGGGGGGAGCCCAGCGCTGAGACAGGGAAGCCCAGAGGGAAAGTACCTGAGAACTTCAGACCCCGTTCAAGCTCACTCCTCTGCCTTCCTCTCCCTCCCAATCTTAGGCAAGCTAGAACTCTGTAGTTCCTCGGTCCTGGGGCCTAGTGAAAAAAATTGTTGTCCAGTGTTAGGAACTTTATATAATCTCTAGAACCAGGATATAGTGACTGACCTTGGCTTCTCCCATGAAGAAAACAAATTGAGATTGGGAGGAAGGGCTTTTTTTTTTTTTCTTTTTTTTGGGTCCGGTTGTGGGGCCTGAACTCTGGGCCTGGGCGCTGTCCCTCAGCTCTTCAGCTCAAGGCTAGTGCTCTACCACTTGAGCCACAGTGCCACTTCCGGCTTTTTTCTTTTTTTTGCTTATGTGGTGCTGAGGAATCGAACCCAGGGCCTCGAGCATGCAAGGCAAGCGCTCTACCACTGAGCCACCTTCCCAGCCCTCATAAGATTCTTTTCTCCAATAAACCATCAGAACATCGGAAGTGGTAGAGCGCTCGCCTTGAGCTGAAGAGCTCAGCGACAGCACCCAGGCCCAGAGTTCAAGCCCCACGAATGACAAAAAGAAAGAGCGTAATGAGAGTAGAGGGTGGAGTTGTTTGGAGGTGGAAGCTAGCAAGAAGGGAGAGACATTATATGCATATAGCACAAGAAAATCCCTTTGTCTAACTTAAAATATTTATTTATTTAGTTATTTGTGCTGGCCTAGGACTGGAACTCAGGATCCTGGGCACTGTCTCTGAATTTTTTTGCTCAAAGCTAGCACAGTTCCACTGGATAATTGGAGATAAGAGTCTCAGAGACTTTGATGTTGCGTTTCCCCCCATTCGTTCCCCCCCCACTCCCCCCACTCCCCCCGGTCATGAGGGCTGAACTCTGGGCCTGGGTGCTGTCCCTCAGCTCTTCAGCTCAAGGCTAGCACTCTACTACTTGAGCCACAGAGCGACTTCTGGCTTTTTTCTGCTTATGTGGTGCTGAGGAATCAAACCCAGGGCCTTATGCATGCAAGGCAAACGCTCTACCACTGAGCCACCTTCCCAGCCCTCCTTAGCTATTTTCCCCTCAAAGCTAGTGCTCTGGCACTTGAGCCACAGCTCTACTTCTGGCTTTTTGGTAGTTAGCTGAAGGTTAGTCTTAGGGATTTTCTTGCTTGGGCTGATTTTGATTTCCTAGCCTGAGTAGCTAGGCTTGCAGCCGACTTCCAAATAGGCTTTCTGTGGGTGTGGGGTGGGCAGATGTGAGTGGGAATAACAGAAAGGAGGTGATTCCAGGCAAGTGACTGAGCCAGGCAGGGAGGCTGCAGTAGAGCCACAGCCTCACCAGCCAGAACAAAAGGCAAGGAAGGGAGGCCCCCAGCTCTCGCCTGTTTCTGACTCTTCCCTCACCTACCCCTAGAGCTGGGGGACCTCCCTCTGGTCCGCCTGGATTTCTCCTGTAACCGTGTTTCCCGCATCCCGGTCTCCTTCTGCCGCCTCAGGCACCTGCAGGTCATTCTGCTAGACAGCAACCCCCTGCAGAGCCCACCTGCCCAGGTGAGGTACGGGCTGGGTGGATGCTGGGATCAGAGGTGGGGTTAGACAGGCGTATGAGAGTCCCTTCCGTAGGCCAGCAGGACCTAGGGGACCTGCTCCCTCCATTCCCTCTTCTCACAGATCTGCCTGAAGGGGAAACTTCACATCTTCAAGTACCTGTCAACAGAGGCTGGGCGGCGTGGGGCTGCTTTAGGGGACCTGGTCCCTTCCCGTCCCCCAAGTTTCAGTCCCTGGTAAGTCCTGATGGGAAAGAAGGATGTCCTAAATACTTCATGCCCCTTCCTGACACAAGGATACTTGCTTGGTCTCTAGGGGAGGGTGGGTGCTGCCTGCATGGGCTGACTGGGTCTCTCTGGCTGGCCCCAAGCCCTGCGGAGGATTTATTTCCGGGACGTCGGTATGATGGTGGGCTGGACTCAGGCTTCCACAGCGTTGACAGTGGCAGCAAGAGGTGGTCTGGAAATGAGGTAAGGTCTCCTTTCCCAGGGTATTTGGGACATCCGTTCTGAAGAGAATCTGTGTTGGTGACCCTTTGTGTGTGGGTACCTTTGTGTGTGTGTGGGGGAGGGTATTGGTGCTTGAACTCAGGGTCTGGGCACTGTCTACCACTTGAACCACAGCTCCACTTCCAGCTTTTTTTTGGTGGTTCACTGGAGATAAGAGTCTCATGCACTTTCCTGCCCAGGCTGGCTTTGAAGTGTGATCCTCAGATCTCAGCCTCCTGAGTAGCTAGGATGACAGGTGTGAGCCACCAGCCTCAGCCTGATATGGCTGAACCTCAGTGGCAAGCTGAGAGTGCTGGAACTCCTTCCCTGTCCTTACTATCCCAGGAAGGACTGGCTCAGCCACTGGCCCATCTCAGTCCTCCCAGGAGCCTGCAGGCCTGGGCCCTGTGAGCCCCTGCAGTGCATGCACGGCCATCCCCCCCCCCCCCTCCCTTTATAGTCAACAGACGAATTTTCGGAGCTGTCCTTCCGGATCTCAGAGCTGGCCCGGGAGCCTCGAGGCCCCCGAGAACGGAAAGAGGATGGCTCTGGTAAGTAAGGAGGGATGGTGTAGATGAGGGTCTCATGTCCCCCATCTGCTCACTCACCCATGCTCCCTGGCCCCTCCAGTGGATGGGGACCCGGACCAGATCGACTTCATTGACAGCCATGTCCCTGGGGAGGAAGAGGAGCGAGGCACTGCTGAGGTGAGAATATCACCACGCCGCTCCTCCAGGAGAGGGGGCTAGTTGGGGAGCACCAAGTGCAGGCCTGTGGGGCGGGGACCAGGCCTCCTCCCTCAGCCCTTACTTGTTCTCTCTCTAGGAACAGCAGACACCGGAATCAAGCCCCGTGCCAGGGGGTGGGGAGAGGGCATTGAGTAGCAGGTATGCCAGACGCTGTGTCCATACTTAGACTCTGTACTAACAACCCTGGCCCCCATCCTTCCTGGACTAGGGTTTCTTTCTTGTCCTGTCTCCCCTCAGACGGGAGGAGCCCACTGGGGAGGAGCGGAGGCGCCCAGACTCCTTACAATTGTGGCAGGAACGGGAGCGGCGTCAACAGCAGCAGAGTGGGGGCTGGGGAGCCCCCAGGAAGGACAGGTGTGGGCGCTCAACCCCTGGGGGGAGCCCCAGAGTACCTCCTGAGTTAGTGGGCTCTGGGGGTCTGTGGCCTTCCTGGTGACACCGACTCTGCCTTTCCTGCTTCTTTCAGTTTCCTGAAGCTGGGACTCAGGGCTGCCGGGGGAGGTACTGCCCCACTCGTGTCTGGCCAGGCCACCTACAAGTAGGTTCCTCTCTGACCCTCTTTCCACCCCTACTCTTTAATCCACCCTCTAAGGCCCTTTCTGTCTCCTCAGCGCCCCCACGAAACTCAGCGCCACCCAGCTGGGAACATCTGGGGGACAGGGAGCTTCTGCACCTGCTCCCCCCGCCCCAGAGCCCAGTTCCATGGCTGGACCAGGTGGGACGGGGACATGGAGGGAAGGATGGGAGTGTGTGGGACACCCAGAGGAGAGAATGTCTTCTCACATGCCTTTGGCTCTGTGTCTCCCCCCCCCACTCCTCCCCCCAATGACAGCACCTGCTTCCCGGCCACTCAGCTCCATGCAGAGACCTAACAGCTTCCTCTTCCGGTCATCCTCTCAGAGTGGCTCAGGTGGGTCTCCTTGCCATCCCCAGCTCTGCCTTAGCTTCAGCCTGTACTAACTTCTCTTTGGGTCCCTCTGGGGTGTAAATCGCCCCTCAAAGGCAGCAGCCGGGGGTAGAGACAGTGATGTCCTCTTCTTCCTGCTAGGCCCTTCTTCACCAGACTCTGCCTTGAGACTTCGGCCATCATCCCAGGATCTGGACCAGAAAGAATTAATGGCTCAACTACGCCAGGTAAAGCAGGGGTGAGGTCTGCATGGGCTGGACCTAGGCTTTTTTTTTTTTTTTTCTTTTCCTTCTTCTTTTGGCGCTGGTCCTGGAGCTTGAGCTCAGAGCCTGGGCACTGTCTTTGAGCTTTTTTGCTCAAAGCTAGCACTCTACCTCTTAAGTCACAGCTCCCTTTCTGGCTTTTTGATAGTTAATTGGAGATTAGAGTCTCATAGACTCAACTTCCAGTCATGATCCTCAGATCTCAGCCTCCTGAGTAGTTAGGATTACAGGAGTGAGCCACCAGCTCAGGCTTGGGCTCAGTGCCCTTTGTCAGGGCTCCCTCAATACCTTCTTTTCTAGCTGGTACCCACCTGAGCTGGGAAGGGGGCAAGTATGTGTTTCCTGCAGATACCACGTGCTCTTCTATTCTGTTCTCAGGTTTTGTTTTTTTTTTTTTTGTGAAAATACTGTACAGAGGGGTTACAATTACATGGGCAAGATAATGAGTACATTTCTTATCAAACATTGTAGCCTCCTCCTTTGTTTTCCCTTCACATCCCTTCCCATCCTCCCCCCACCCAATCCTCCCCCCCCCACCAAAGTTGTAAAGTTCATTTTCCATGTACAACTTGTACATCTCATTGTTGCAATGGGTCCACCTGTATCCCTATTGAAACAATTTTTTTTCCCCTTCCCCTCCACAGATTATACCAACATCAAATACAGTGAAAGCAGGGGTTATACCGTGGGGGAGGGACATACAAAGCAACAAAGAAATCATCTTATAAATGTGTTAGAAACAGTCGCATGAAAGAAAAAAACATTTGAATAGATATCTTAGGGTTCGTTTCCCTAACATCAGCTTATCTGCCCTTTTCTGCTTGAATGTTCTCAGGTTCTTGAGTCACGGCTGCAACAGCCCCTACCTGAGGACCTCACTGAGGCTCTGGCCAGTGGGGTCATCCTCTGTCAGCTGGCCAACCAGTTGCGGCCCCGTTCAGTTCCCTTCATTCATGTGCCCTCACCTGCTGTGGTCAGTTGGGGCCCAAGGGAAGAAGAGGGGCATGGCACCCAGGCTTTGGGGTGCTCTTCCTTACCCTTCTTCTCTACCTCCAGCCAAAGCTCAGTGCCTTCAAGTGTCAGAAGAATGTGGAGAATTTCTTAGAAGCTTGTCGAAAAATGGGGGTGCCTGAGGTATGGGGACTGATCCCTGCTCTAACGGGTGGTGGTTTCTGGGGCTCAGCTGAGCACCATGCATGGATGGTGGGGTTCTGTTCACAGGGGTGTCTGCTCCCAGAGAAAGCACGTCCGCATGCTCCACCTGCATGTGTCCTGCCCCGCATGTCTGAGTGTTGGTGTGGTTCTAGTCCTGGCATGGGGGAGACAGGGTGGGGGAAGGACTAGGTGCTGGTGCTGACTGCTGTCCTTTGTACTTGTCCATCTGTCCTGCCCTCCCTTCCCAGGCTGACCTCTGCTCGCCCTCAGATCTCCTCCAGGGCACTGCCCAGGGCCTACAGACCACACTGGAGGCTGCATTGCGGGTGGGGAGCAAGGCCCCTCCGCCAGTCTGGCCCCCTTCTGGTCTTGGCGGCTTCATCCTCTTCTACGTGGCCTTCATGCTGCTGCTCTATGTCATCTACACTCGGCTTCTGGGTTCCTAGGACTGAAGTCACCTCTCCCCTTCCCCTCTTCTATTTATGACTCCTACCAACCCTGTCCCCACCAGTGGTGCCTTCAGACCCTACCAAAGACACTAGTGTCCTCCCTTATGAACACTGACCTCAGAGCCCCCTCCTCTGGTGTGCCCAGACCTTGGGCAGAGCCTTTGGCCTCCTTCCTGTAGCCCCTCCCTGTCTCTGCTGATGGTGCCTTCATACCCTCTCCCACCCCACCCCACCCACGCTATCTGCCCCCCAGGGGCACTTGGATCTTTCCTTCCACCCCCGCTTGCTGCTATGGGGGCCTAAATTATCTCTGTTTTGTAGAGAGAATTCTATATTTGTAGGCCATGCGGGGGCCCAGGCTGGGCCTCTGGCTTTGTGTATAAACTGTACAGACTAACTGTGTGTGCATGTGTGTTTTTGTCTGCTCCTGCTGTGCCATGCGGCCATGTGCCAGCCTGAGCCAGCACTGCCCTGTCCCCAGCCTCCTGTCCCCGATGCCCTGTCCCTGACCTTCTGAATCCCTGATCTCCTGCCCCTGACCTCCTGTCTCTGGCTTGACCCCTGTGAGCTCTGTGCTGCTGGCTGTGTGGCGCCTTGGCCCCCAGGGGGCTTTGTCTGGCGGGAACCCCCTCCCCCGTGCGGGGAACCGGACCTGACCTGGCCCTCCCCCCAGGAGTCCCTGTGCCAGCCCCACCACATCCTAGAAGACGAGGGGGGCCCGGGCGGGGGCCTCCCCCACATCGCCGCCGTGGTCCGCGCGCTGCTGGAGAGCCCTTAGGGGTGGAGGTGTGGAAGATGCCAGGCTTCTGCCCGAAACCAGGACTTGGCGGGGGCACCCTGTGCCCTTAGCCGCCGTTCGGCAGGGCTGGGCCTGGGTGGGAGCCCCGCAGGTGCGAGAGCGCAATAAAAGGCCCACAGCCTGGGTCGGCCCTCAGGTGTGCGTGTCTGTGGGTGACCAGCGCGCGTGCGTGCCCCATCTGCGAATGAGCCAGCGCGCGTGCGTGCTCTGGTCTCTGAGGGGGCCAGAGCGCATGCGTGCCTGCGCGTGCACGCTCGGGTCTGTGAGCGAGCAGTGCGTGTGCACGTCACGGGCATGCCCAGCCCCACCGCCAGGGGGCGCACTGGAGGCAGCAGAGGCGGGGAGCCACACGTGGCTGGAGCCGCGCAGGCGTCGTCGTGGGCGACGCCTGGGAGGGAGGCGAGCGGCCTCGTGACTGAGGGCGCAGGCCTTGCTCACTCCCACTCAGTATGCTGTCCTGGCCGTGCGCGCCCCAGGGCGCGAGCGACGGGGGCATGGCGGAGGTGGGCGTGGAGGAGGGAGGCAGGGAGGACGCAGAGGAGCCTGGGGAGGAGGAGGACGTGGAGGAGCAGGATCCGGGAGAGGAGGAGGAGGAGGACGCGGAGGAGCAGGGAGAGGTCGCCGAGCAGCACGAGCAGGGCGGCGGGCAGAGCCCGGCCCGGAGCCCTGGGGAGCCGGCGGACGCAGCTTGGGCACCGGCCAGGTGAGGACGGGCGCTGCCATGGAGAATGCCCACGGCGGCGGAGGGAGGGGGAAGCACCCCGGGGGGGGGCCCGCCGGTGTCCCGTGCGCACCCCGGCAGCGCATCGCATCCTCTCTCCCCAGCCTCCATCTCCAGGCCTCCAGCCCCTTGCACTCGCGGGCCGGGCCCTGGGTCCAGCAGGAGCTGCTGCCGCGCTGCCCCCCACATCTGGTGACTGGGCAGCCCCCAGCAAGTCCAGGTAGGCCCGGGCCTTGCTGCCTTCATCCAAGCCTCACCCCCATACTTTTTTAATCCTTCCCAGTCCTGGGGCTTCGAATTCAGGGCCTGGGCACTGTCCCTGAGCTCTTTTCACTCAAGGTGGGTGTTCTACCACTTGAGCCAGCACTCCACTTTTTGCTAGTCTCAAATACTTCTCTTACAGACTTTTTTTTCACAACTCCACTTCTGGTTTTTTGGTGGTTCCTTGAAGATAAAGAGTCTCATGGACTTTCCTGCCCAGGCTGGCTCTGAACCCCAATCTTCAGATCTCAGCCTCCTGAGTAGCTAGGACTACAGGCATGAGCCACCAGCACTTGGCCTAAAACCTTTTATTTTTATTTATTTATTTATTTTTTTGGTTGGTCGTGGGGCTTGAACTCTGGGCCTGGGCGCTGTCCCTCAGCTCTTCAGCTCAAGGCTAGCGCTCTACCACTTGAGCCACAGCGCCACTTCCAGTTTTCTGGTGGTTTATTGGAGATAGGAGTCTCACGGTCTCTTCTGCCCGGGCTGGCTTTGAACCTCCATCCTCAGATCTCAGCCACCTGAATAGCTAGGATTACAGGCGTGAGCCACCAGCGCCCGGCAAAACCTTTTATTTTTAATGTGGTACTGAGACTTGAACTTAGGGCCTTGCTTTTGCTAAGTTTGTGCTTTACCCCTTGAGCCTCATCTCTAGCTGGCGGGCCTGTTCTAATCTTTTCAAGTGTGCCCCTGCAGTCCCACCTGCCCCTAAGATGACGTGGGAGGTGACCTCTTCAAGGACGGCTGTTCTGTCACCGTGGGACCCTAACTATGAGTCTAAAACAAGATCTCATCTGACTTGGGTAAGTTGGGGAGACCTTGTGGCTCTGGCTTGGGGTGGCCCAGGTGTCTTGAGAAGGGTCGGAGGCTCCAGTGACCTTTCCTGCCTTCCACAGGGGCCCGGCTGTGGGTCAGGTGCCTCCTTCTCTAACCGGACCATGTGTCATCCTTCTTTCTACCCCTTGTACGAGGCAGCTGGCAGGGGGTACCCTCAGCCAGTGCCTCCCGGAAGGCATCATCATAATGGACAATCCATGCCCAGGGATGCAGGTATTTCCTGCAGCTCCCCTCCCTATCCCCAGTGCTGCACAAACCCCACTGTACTGCTTCCCAGTGGGAGCCCCCAGGCCACACACACCCTGCCCCCCAACACACACACACCAGGCTCTCCTCCCCAGGAGTCCCAGTGATGTGTCGGGAAGACTTCTTTCTCTTGGATCCTCTGCTGCCACATGGACAGCGTGTTCCTCTGTACCTGGCTGAGCCTCCTCATCAGGTGAGATCGAATCTCTCTCCTGCCCAGAACCCTCACACACACATTCCAGCCTCTGCACAGGGCCAGGGAGGAGGAACCATTGCCCCCCTCTCTTTTCAGGCCATGGGCCCCATGAAGCTGCTGCTCCTGCCACCTGTCATGACCCCCTGGGTATATCCCTCTGCACCCCAGGGCAGTTCCACCACAGCCTGGCTCAGCGGGCCGGAGCTGATTGCCCTCACCGGCCTGCTGCAGATGAGCCAGGGAGAGCAGAGACGCAACCTTGCAGAGGTTCCCTTGGCCTCCACCAGCCTTCCAGAGCCCAACTCCAACCCTCAGGAGACCAGTGGTCATCAGAGCTGCTGTGATAGCACCAGCCCGTCTGTCACTCAGGGTCCAGACTCTCACTGTTCATAATGCACCCACCCCCCACCCCCAGCTAGTGCAGTTTCCTCTTGCCTAGCCTGATATATTGACAGTAAAATAGCAATGGTGCACACACATGTCTCCTTGTGGCAAATGGCAGAGGGGACATGGAGGCAGAGATGCGTCTCTTCTTTTTTACTGGTTGTTCCCGTGCTGTAGGGTGGGAAATCTAAAGACAACACGAGTGTACCACTGAACAGGGCACTTTTATTGGGTAGATCGGTCAGTCCATAGTCCAGAGGTGGGGCGGATCTCTAGCAAGCAAAGACTTGATCAGCAGTGCCAGGCCTGGGAAGTCTGGGCACATTGCTCAGGCACACATTGCCTTTGGGGAGGACACTCATAGTAGGATCCATGGGGTTGGTCCCAGGAGTTCAGCCTTTACACTGGATATGACTGGATGAGGATTAGGTTTATTTATTAATGCCAGTCCTGGGACTTGACCTCAGGGCCTTGGCGCTGTCCCTGAGCTTTTTTGGGGGGGTCCAGTTGTGGAGCCTGAACTCTGGGTCTGGGCGCTGTCCCTCAGCTCTTCAGCTCAAGACTAGCGCTCTACCACTTGAGCCACAGCACCACTTCTGGCTTTTTTCTTTTGGCTTATGTAGTGCTGAGGAATCAAACCCAGGGCCTCATGCATGCAAGGCAAGCACTCTACCACTGAGCCACCTTCCCAGCCCCTCCCTGAGCTTTTTTGAAAGCTGGCTCTCTACCACTAGAGCTAGTCTTCCACTTGCAGCTTCTTGGTAAATTGCAGATAAGAGTCTCACAGACTTTCCTGACAGGACTGTCTTCATACCACATTCCTCAGATCTCAGCCTCCTGAGTTGCTAGGATGACAGATGTGAGCCACCAGCTCCCAGCGGAGGGTTCAGAAAACTAACAAAGGCACTGCTGGTATGGAGGCTGAGTTGTCAAAATTGAGGTGGGGCAGCTTGTGTATGTGGGGGGGGGAGAGGGGATAGTGGTTCTTTATAACTTGGCCACAAAGGCAGCCTGTGACTGATTCTATTAAGAATTCTGCAAAGAAGCTGGGCGCCAGTGGCTCACGCCTGTCATCCTAGCTATTCAGGAGGCTGAGATCTGAGGATCTCGGTTCAAAACTGGCCCAGGGCAGGAAAGTCTGTGAGACTCCTATCTCCAATAAACCACTAGAAAACCAGAAGTGGTGCTGTGGCTCAAGCAGTAGAGCACTCACCTTGAGCTGAAGAGTGCAGGGACAGTGCCCAGGCTCAGAGTTCAAGCTCCACGACCTACAAAAAAAAAAAAAAAAATTCTGCAAAGAAACAGGGTCAGGAGTTTAGCTGAGAAACACCAGACTTGTGTAAGTTATTGGGGGAAGGGGTAGAGATGTTCTAGAAGTTTCTTTGAAAGAACCGGATTTGGAGGGCATCTGTGCGTGAGGATTTCTTGGGCGACCCCGCGAAAGGAGGTCAAGGGGCAGCAGGGGGTCACTGCCAAGCCACATCCTGCTGCCTCAGGGCCTGGGGAGCAGGAGGCCGATAGAAGGCGGGGAGTGGAGGTCAGGGGCACATTAGTAACTTTGGCTCTGTTTGCTGTTTCTCACCTGAGCCTGGGAAGGTTCTAGAACTTGATTCTCACATAGGCGTGAGGGCGGGCCCTAGGGGCGTCCCCGCGGACCTCCAGGGGAGGGACCAGGTCCAGGTCCATGTAGCTGAGGCAGCTGTCGGGGGTCGGCGGCTGGGCCTTGGGCTGGACGCCCGCAACCCCCCGCTCCCGCACCAGCCTTGTCCAAGATGGAGCGCAGGGTCCTCCGGGTCTCGCGCTGTCGGTGCTGCGGCGGGGACCCCGGGGCTCGGCCCCCCGCTTCCCCGCAGGGGGCGCCGGTGGGAAGGGGTTCATGGGCACGTACTCTGCGCCCCCCACGTGCCCGGCGTCGCGCGGGCGTGCCATCCACACGTAGTCGTCCCCCTCGCAGCTCCCCACCATGTGCACGTAGTCGTCGGGGCCCGGGTCCTCCGGGGCGGCGGCGGCCCCGGCCCG